TTTTGTGTAATAGTCTTGTAATGAATATGACAAGCTGCTGCGGTCACTTTTGTTATTAGGACTGTAAAGCAGCTTTGTGTTTCATTCTCCTCTTGTCCTCTTAAAGGTCTGCTGCCTACAGCACAGGTCTACACTGTGGTCCTCTTTTTCTCAAGGCCTTCTTGGATCCTGTGGTCAGAGGCTAGGAAGCCAGGAGAGTATTCGCAATCCGTTTTCCCAGCTTCCATACGGAGTGAATTTGATGTGTATTCTGTGATGTTCTAGTGGTTGTGACGCTCTCGTTCCTATTGATACATTTATTTCCTGATTTTTTTTTTTGGTCATTTTTACAAAAATAATGAAAACCATTAAACGGAATGGCTGTGGTCCTTGGCCTTCCATGGCAATAAATAGCTTTTGCAGCTGAGGGTTTTGATCAACCACAGAAAACTATTACAATTGTAGTCTTGTGCCCTACATATTGTGTGCAACCAGAGAACCGTTTCAAGCATTGAGATTTGCCAAAACCCACAGATTTTATTTGTAAAAAAAAAAAAAAATCTTAACTGTGTTCTTGGTGTTTTGCTGAATAGGGATATGTCCCAGTTTAATAATCTCTCTCTCCTTTAATTCTTTACACTGGGCTGACGTGGTATGGAAAACAATTTCTCTTTCACAGAGATACTGCATTTTCTGTAGTTTTCTCCCCTTCTGTCTTTTTTTTCTGGCAACTGCAAGCTTATAACCTCTATACCCGTTCTTTATCCTCTTCTCTGTTCCTCGTCCCCACGAGGAGCAGCAGTATTCTGGAATGTGCTGATCTCTTTCTTTAGGAAACATTCTGTAGTTTCACCACACAGATTCCTTGACTGTAGCGTTATTCACATTTTCAAGGAGCTAGTGACTTAGATGCTGTAACACCTGCAAGCCTACATTTGATTTTAATTCTGGCTTAACTTCTGTGTATATTTTTACAAAGTACTTAGTTTTTACTGTTAATTTTATTTAGTCTGCTTTTTGTAACTTTTACTGAATTAGCTTGTGTTCGTCCATCTGTCCCTTGTAATGTTTGATGGTACTAGCAAATTTCAACAGAATATAAGGTTAAGGTAAAGATAGAACCTCAGAATATTAAGTTACTCTAACAAACATGCCCGAGTTTTGGCTGGCAGGGGGAGAAGGAAAAGCTGCTGCTAACATTTGTCTGGCCCTCTGGAAGCTGAAAGGTAGCGTGTTCTCGTTGGTTCTCGTTGCGGCCAAAGGCTGTGATCATCTCAGCCAGCCTACCTAGAAGACCAGGCAAAGTGTGTGGAGGATGTGGGTGGGAACCAAAGGTATCAGCTTTCAAATGAAGAAGGCAAACTGTAGGAAAATATACTTCTTGCTTGTCTGGGGGGTAATTTTATTGATGTTTTGAAGATAAAATAAAACAGTAGTACATCTGTTGTAATGCAGATTCTTCTGTAGGGACGAGTCTGCAGCAAATCTGGTATTAGAATAAGAATTATCTTTCTTAGTGCAGAATAGTGAACTTTCAAAAGGGGAAAAAAGTACTTATTATTCTAGAAACTGTAATATAGTTGGAAAAAAGCAAAAGGAATTGATGGTTTCACATCATGGCTGTCTCATGTTTTTTGATGAAGTCTTGCTTCTGAGGTGTTGTTTCTTTCAAAGTTCTTGCCATGTATGTTACTGCAGAGCTGATTACGTTGGATTGGTGATGATCTCCTTGCACGTGCTTATACATTGGTCTCAAAAATGCAGTTACTCTGCACATAAATGTATTTTTCTAGCTGGTATCCAGTATTGTTAATGTTTGTGCCTTATTTTTCTTTAATATTTTGTATAAATGTTAGGGATACCAACTTCATTAAAATGTTTTAAGATCCTTGAAGAAAAATAACTATAATTGTAATGCAATGGATAGTTTAGAATCAAGGAAGAATATTAAAATATTTAAGATGTTACAATTGAAACTCATGAGTAGATACAGTACTGCCCAAACTGAACATCTGCATTTGGGCTATTTGGAGAGGTGGTTGCACCCAGATAAATAAAAGTACCTCCCAGACATTATAAGATTATGTGAATTGCTTGTGCTTTTCTTTTCATGGTTTAAAAACTGATACTTACGAACAAACTTTCTTTTAAGAACAGTAGATGTTTCATTTATACCGTTGAATAATTACTTTTGCGTTACTGTTGTAGCTCTCTTCTGAATCTTCTTGCTGGATGCTGCCCTGTGTCCTGATGTGCCCTCTCCTTCCTGCATTTTCAGCCTCTGCAGGTCTGACAACATGGGACTAAGATGAGGGAGTTTGCCTGGAGCACAGCTCTGTCATGGTTCTGGTTGAGCTGGTGTTAACACCAGTAGAGCTACTTCTTGCTATCAGTCTTATGCCCCTTTCCTTTTGAAAAATCAAACAGAAAATTGGGTGCTTAAGCTAAGGTAAAACCCAAAAATCCTTTTTGACTGTTCTGGGCTAACAGGGAGGCCTTCTCTCTCTCTCTCTTTTTTTTTTTTTGAGGATGCCCTTGTCCCGTTTCCCTTCTAGCCTTCAGTTGCATTTCTGTCTACGTCTCCTCTTTGTCAGTAGTGGGTGGCTGATCCTTGCATTGGAGCCCTGTGCTTGTTGTTGTGGGAACTGTGGATGCCTCTAGCCACCTCTGCCAGCGGGGGAAGCCCAGCCACCCTTCCCAGGGTGCTATCCACTACATTTCCATGTATGCTGGGGTAGATGCTGATGTATAAAAGTTAAATTAAGTAATTATTAGAACTCTGATAAGTAGATCTAGTTACTCTAAAGTGTAAACCAGCTGAGAAGCACTTTTTTGTGTGTATTTGATTTAGCTTTCTGTATTGAACTGGTCACTCACTGTGTGGTTAAGTGCGTAATACTGCTCATGTGATGGGGGTGAATGAAGGCAACGGGGGACTATTAAAACTTCCTTTCTGGTGGCAGCTAGCAACCCACTTGCTTATCTGTATCCACATTCATACATAAGCTTAGTTTCTGCCTACTCTAAGCACCAGTATAGTCAATTTAAAAAAAAAGGGGGGGAAACTTAGGCTATAATTTGAGCCAGTGGTGCTCATACCAGTTCAGTCTTCCTTCTTGTCCTAGTCTCACACAGTTCCCTCTCATGGGCCACTTACACAGTTATATAGTGAACTGGATCGGAGAATTTATCTAGCGGATGAATTGCCTGACAAGAAATTTATTTACCTTTAAACCAAATTAACTTCTCCTTTCAGTTCACCACAGGGCTGCAGAGCGCATCTGTGTGGGCAGAGGGGAAACAGTGTCGTAGGGATCAGGAGGCGGGACTGCAGTAGTGCCAGCTTGCTTTGACTAAAGTTGTTCAAAGTAGAGCTGAGGCACGTAGCTTGGTGGTGCTGTTTCCTGCCATGTCATTCAGCTGAACTGATTTGTCCTTCTTTTTAAAAAACATGCGTAAAATTTTATGACAGCTTTGTGTTGTCTGTAACATAATAAATGCTCGGTACAGTAATTGTACTGCTATTCTGCAGAAAGTTAAAATGAAGGATATTTAACTGTGATTTATTTTATTTCAGTCATGAAAATCAGAGCACAGAAGCAAATCTAAGTCATGAGCTATTTGTGTTCGGCATTTTTGTTGGATTTACAGAAGACACTTTGTTTTCTTTCTTTTGCTGTAGGCATTCCAAATAAGAAATTTTTGGGGAGAAGGATAAGTCTTTAGTTCTGATTCTGTATATTGCTCATTGTAAACCTCTGTTTCGTTACCTGATTCCCCTAGTAATATCACAGATTCAATACTGTGTAACCTCATAATGTAACCTCATAGCATTAGTAAACTTTAAAACGTGATGAGTTAGAAATGACTAGAGAAGTGTTAGTCTCTGTTGCCTTTTGATCTAGAAGTAACTGCAGATGCTCTGAAAAATAGATAGTGTTTGAAAGCGGTAGGTAACTTAAATTCTGTTTTTTTCCTGTCGCACTTTTAATTTCTTATATTTCATCTAAATTTTTTTATAAGCAATTTTTAAATTAAATGATTGTTACTCAAAATAACAGTGTATCTGACAGTGGAGTTTTCATAATGTGAGCATCACAGCTGATGCTATTCTGAAGTGTAATATCAACATAAAAGGGTGAATAAATAGTGTGTTTGAGGAGGAAAACCAGGTATTTGGTATAACTGTGTTGGACTATACAATGTTCTGAACAAATATCCTTTAAAGGGTTTTTAACGCTGAAGCTAAGAAGTAAAAAGCTGTGCTTGATAAATTCTCATCCTTCTATTTTGAAGAAAGTGGATTGGGAAATGCAGTATTCTTTTTCTAAATGGTCTGTGTTGTTTAACTATTCAAAATTACTAGCTGTGCTCAGAGCACTGAATTCTGTTTTGAGACAACTGAAAGCAAACTGCAACTGTACTTTTAAGCGCAGAATTCAGACAGCAGCATTTGTTCTGTTAAGTTGAATTTCTCAATGAAAAAACTCCTAGATCCTCCATTTAAGAGGCTGCTTACATTTTTTTTGAAGAACTGAAGTCTTCCAAGTAGCAATACAAATTTCATGTTGTGCTGTAGTATGTGCTATATTTCTCAGCTTTAGTAAAAAACAGTAAAAAAGCCGGTTTGTGCAGGTAACATACATAGAAAAATACTAGTATCCTGAAATAAAAGTAATTCTCAACCTTTGTGCAGTCTGTATGCAGACTTCTGTTTACTAAGGCAGAAATTAGAATGTGCTACCAGAATTTTCTCCATTATTTTTGGTTCATTGTGCACATTGAGCAGAACAGAAATATTCAGGATAATGTTCATGTTTGTGTCTGAGCAGTTTCTAAATCTTGGATTTTCTTGCCTTTTGGTCTGTGTGGTTGTTCCATGGTACTTTCTGCAGCTAGTTTTTGAAAGTTTTAGTATACTAGTGTGTATTATATAAACAGTGCTGTGTTATTTCTGTAGATTGATGTTCTCTGGTGTATAGATTTAAAAATCTTTTTTTTTTCTTTTTTTTTTTAATTCCTCTCTTGCAGAAAATTCTAAGCTGAGACATGTAGAAAAAGATGTTTTGATTCCACAAATAATGAGAGAGCGAGCCAAGGAGCTGTGTTCAGATAAAGTGCAAGGTAAGAGTCAAATATTCATTGGGAGATCAGATGTATTCACTTTTGTGCCCTGAATATAATCCTTGTTTTTGAAGTCAAATAGTCAGAGAATTAATATGTATGATCTGCATCTTAACTGTTCACTGTGAAACCAGTAGTAAAGTGTATAAATCTGCCATGTTGGCTTTGACTGCTTGGTGATGTGGACTGTTTTCCAAAACGACTTGTTCTCAAAGGCTGTGTAATTCAATGTGATTGATATAAAACTTTCTACATCTCGGTCTAGACTATGTGATGCCAGAGCAACACAAGAGTTACTATATTCCTGTATGTAATATTTGATACTTACATAAATGGAATTGCCTCCTATGAGCCTTCAGTTAGGGCCTCCTTCATTAAGATAAATGTATTTAAATATTCCCAACTAACTGCATCCTTTCCCTGTCCCAATATTTTAATGATACATGCACATAAACACACATGTGTCATTAGATAGATGTTGAAATAGGATGATGCAGTCCACTTTTGCATGTTTTCATTTTCTTTTGAAGAGTACTGGACAGTAACTTTTTAAAGTTGGGTATCACCACTTTTTCTGACACCCAACTGTTCATATATTCCTGGAAGAAATCTGGAACTTTTTGAAGTGCCGGAAAGATAGAGCTACTTACGCACAGGTTAGCTGAGAATGTTGCTGTAAGAGGGATGTAAGAATGGAAAAAAAAAATTAGTCCAAAGAATTATTCTATACAAGTGGCATGCTTTCAGTAGAGGGCATTTGCCTCGTGTCATCTAGATCTGTGCTCTCTAAACTTTTTTGATTGCTCACCCCATCATAAAAAATTTCTGAACGCGCAATCCCAATGTATGTGTATTTAAAAGAGATTAAGAAGGATGAGGTAAAGATGAAATAAACAGTACTTTAAAATAATTTTTATATTAGTTATCAATGGTACAAAACCCTTTTTGCTCTAAAAATATTACTAACAATATTTTTCTTGAGAGCTATATGATTGAATATGCTTCATTATTTTTAAAAATCTCTGTTTAACACTGTGATACAGCAATTCGAAGGTCTGGTTCTATGTTCAGTTTATTTCAATACTTGGTTTTAATGGGTGTCATAGCTAAAAAAATACCTCACAAAGATGCGTAGATCCCAATGGAAGATGTGCATCGTTGCCTGTAAAATCATGATATTCATTTTTCAATCCCATCCACAAGTTTTGCAAAGGTTTTGCTTGAAATTGGGCTAGTAAGTGACCATCTTCCCTGATGTCAATCAGTTGTTCTTCCAAACTAATCGGAAGGTGTTGCATGTTTATATTTTTAACAAATAGGTTCAAAAACCACTGAAATTCTCATTTGGAAGATTGTGCTGTTAGAAAATTCTGTTTCTATCCTTTTAAAGTGTACAGATATGAGAGGTTTTTATAGGTGGCACACTCACATTGTGTTCAGCAACAAAACCAAACCCAAAATCACATAACGATGGAAACATTTCTGAACATCCGTTTTCAAAATGCTCTTTCCATAGCACAAGTTTCTTTTGAAAAGCAGTTACTTTCTCACTCATTGTTAAAACGTCACCTTCACCTTGAAAGGGCACATTAAGTGTGTTTATTTTTTGGAAATACCTGCTAGGTAGCAAACTACCACAGCTACCTGTCATCACTGAAAAGGTCAGCAAATTTGGAACACTTGTCTTTTTGTAAAAGAAAAGTGTGTAAAGTTTGACCACTCTTTTAAGCACTTTGCCACAGGATAACCAGCGAACCTCTGTCTGGTGCAAGAGATTTTCATGGTCCCTCCTCATCTCATTACAAAGTCTCGTAAAGATGCTACTATTTGAAGGGCTTGTTTTTATAAAGTTAACCACATCGATGTCATCCTGTAGCACTTTGTGCACGCCTGGCTCCGGCTTCTTTACTGCAATAGCTCTCCTATGAGTAATGCAGTGAAGGAGTTCCATGTGCGGTGCTCTCTCTGTAACCTTACCCTGGAATCCCTTTTTTATTCCAATCAAAGCAGCCAGTGGTTACACTTGCATGGTTTTTCCATAAAACATTGGTTTTTCTTGAAGAAGCCATTTCCCATTGAGAATATATCTTCTCCGGTACATCTCTCCTTTAGCGGCTCACAAAAAAAAAAGTTCTTCGTGCATTTCATTATTGAAATGCAAATACCATAAGCTGAGAGAAGTTAGAAACATCTGTACTTTGATCCCGCTGTATAGCAAACCTCCTGCACCGCATAACTTGTTCTAATACTTATTTCTTCAAATCTTCAGCAGTGTCTTCTGTGCACCTTCCAACAGTATTTGCTGACAAAGGAGTGCATTTAGTTTGTTGCCATATTGCTTTGCTTGTATTATTTCAGTGATTTTTACCATGGCAGGAAGAACAATTGTTTCCCCAATGGTATGTGGCTTTTTGTCTTTCACTATTACCTAAGAAACTTCAAAGGAGGCTTCTAGATGTTTATCACTAGGTTTAGAGTCAAGTCTAGTTAAAGTGGACCAGCATATTTTCAGGCAGATGCTTTTAGGGGTTCCCCAAAAGGCATAAAGGAGTAGTGTTAAAACAATTTTGAGATGAGTAAGTGGGAAAAGAGTTGGGAATATCTGCCAAAGGAAAGTGACATCACATGACAGGTGACTTCCAGTGCTGCCAGAAGGACTTAATACACCTTTTTTTTCATTTGAATGATAGTTGAATCATTTTTACTTTGAACTCTATACCTCCTGGGGAAAAAAAATGAAGAGGAAAAGCAATTACAGTAATGTGTGTCATTGAAAGAGGGCGTCAGTTAAAAATATTTTGAGAGCATGCTATTTGTATCATTTTCTTTGGGGGTAGACCAAAGGAGAGTGTGTGTATATTTTTCTCTTCTGAACTTTCTCTGTGTAAGATGAGGACTTTGGTTTCGGCATCTTAATTTTCTGTGGCAGCAACCAATATTGGAGATTCTTGAGCTAAGTTGTGGACTATTACCTTGCAGCTTCTCCATGTTTTTGCCTCTATAAATTTTAAAGCAAAATGCTATCTTTTTTTTTTTTTTGGTGTTAGGCAAAGCTATAATTTTTTTCTTCTTTCTCCTGAATAGCGTTCAGTTGCATATCTTTAGGAAAATTAGGTTTATGGATGCATCTGTCTCCCCCTCATTCCACTGCCACCTGTAAGCCAGCTTTGATCAAATTGTGTGGAAATTAGAGGTGGAAACTGAACATTTCCGATGCAGTTTTTATGTTCAAATAGACAAGCAAACCCCACATTCATATCCCTATTAAAAAAAAGATGGTAGCATCAGTTCAGCTATTTTGTTGCACACCTTTTAATCTGGATGGGCGGGGAGAGGCCAAACCATGGGAAATGAAGCTTAAGCAGTTTTGTGAACAGCAGAATTTATCATCTCTTAAACCCATTGTGAAATTATTCCTGGAATAAATTTGTCTTATTAGTACACAGGGATAGGTGTTAATCAGAGTAAATAGGCTATGGTTTTTATGCTGTAAACAATTATAAGCTATGAACATAAGTTGTGTAATTAAGTAATCAAAACTCCTGTGATCCGGTTTGCTACAGAGTGCACACATGTGCATGAAATTGCGCTGTTTACACAGCTACTCATTTAACTTGCTCTCAGTGTAGAATTTTTCTGCTCTATGTTAATTTTGTTTAAACAACTCCTATTAATACACCTTTGTTTCATTTTGTCTTGAGGAAATTGTGGTAAATGCATTAATAATGTAGGAAACAAAGCTATTCTAAAAGTATGGGCCTTTTACAATTTACTTGATCATGCTAGGTTCCTATCTGTCCCTATGGGGAGCCCCTATACATTCAATAGTGCTCTGCATGAGCACGGGGGTCCATCTGTATACAGTCCGTTACTTTAGCCTGCAGCTGTACCACCTAGAGCTGTGTGCTTAGCAGAGCTAATAATGCAAGTAGTGACAGCCTGTCCAGCACGTGTTCAAGAGCCACCCAGGGAAAAGAAACCCTAAGGGTTAAAAAATAAATAAAAAATAAAGGTTTTGTTAACTCAAGAGGTGATCCTGCTACCCTAGAATGGTTAAGTATGTGACCCATTGCTGTGCTCGGGTGTTAGCGTACCAGAGTAACTTAGGGATGAAATAACCATGAAAATGTGTCCATCTTACAATTTTTAAGAACAATTAAGTATTGTATCTGGTCATATTTCATTTTACTTAGATTATTTAAATTTACTTTGAACTTTTTTCAGATTGTTCCAGTATAGTTCTTGTGTGTGCTGTTTCTTTGTCAAGAGTTTAGTACACCTTAGTTGCAGAATAATTTCTGTGTGTTTAAGATTTTCAAGCACTTTTTCAGTGAAAATGGATATATTTGTAATTTTGTTAAGAGGGTAAACATGCTTTCTGCAAAACACTAGTCAATTTTCCACGACCATTATGTAAATATGCTTTACTGTGTTAATATCCATGCACTGTATGTATGTGAAATTGTGGGCTATTATAGGAGTATCAAAAGTGTCGTAAAAACTAAGCAGACAAAAAAACCCAACAACATTATCATACGGGAACTTTTCACTGTATTTGTACAAAGTGGAGCATGAGTTTGTCTGAAATAATATTAAATCTGTGTATTTCTGTATCAATGCGTCCTTGGCGTATAAAAATACGGGCTTTCAAACTGAAGTAGCTAAAAGGAGCATTTATTTGCCATTTCCTCATCCATTGCTTTTGTGAAATTATTTCATAAGTGAACTGTTTTCCTTTCAAATTGTCAAGTTTTTGGCTTTAATTTCCAGTTACAAAATTTACATTTGAGTAAACTTCTTTAAAGCAAAATCATAGCAAATTTCAGTAACCTGAAGTTAGCATTTTTCACAGAAGGGTTATCTTTAGCTTATCAAAACTTCTGTAGTTTCATCTGGTCATGCTGAGCTTTCCATGACTCCTCTGTGCTCTTAAGCAAGGGACATGCACTAAAAAACCTGCAAGAGCTTTTGTTGATCTTGATCATGTCTACAGCAATGTT